TGCTGGGTTTTGTACTACAGATTGTTTATTTATTTACAAATGGTGGACTTTATTTTGTTCCTTTGATAAAGCAAATGAATCTGAATAGATAAAATAAGCATTTGAGTCCACAGTAAGCCAATGAAGCAATCCTAGGCAAGCCAGAGTGTAGACCTCAATCCCCACAACTCCAAAGTGGAGTCACTGACCTGGTAACCACATCCAATGTGGTTAATAAATAAAGGGATAAATGGATAATATCTACACAAAAGTATGTGTGTAAAGTGCCACTCAAACATTATTGATGAAGCCCTATTACAAATGCGGAATTTTTAAGTAAAGTCAACTACAACAATGCAAAAACCTTAAAGGTTAATAATTTCACTAATTAGTCCAAAAATATTAAGTTTTGTTGTTAATTCTTACACTGGGAAAATGTTCTGTTTATAACTTTAGGATACTCAAAATGCTCTACACAAATTGCTGTGCTATGCTGCCAAAAAATTTTGTTTTTGCAAAGTAAAAATAATTTTACTGCTATAAAAAACAACCAATAATGTTGTAAGTGTACATTTGCTAATTTTGCTTTTGTATCAAACAAGGAATAAAAGTTATTAGAAATATTTTACTACACAGGTATGGCTCAGGAGGAAGTAGTTTTAAATCAAATGTAAAGGGCTAAAGGTGTGGCTCAAGTGGTACAGCACTTGCTAAGTAACCAAAAGCTCTGAGTTCAAACCCCAGTACCGCCAAAATAAAGTATAAATCCTGTTTACACAAGTACTAAGGCCTGTAGATATCTGTCATTTGTCATATTTGAAAAAAGCACAGTTGCTCCTCACCTGGAGTTTAGTTTATTTTTTCACATTTCTAGAGGTTACTTTTACAACAGGCACAAAAACTACTAAATTATTTCTGAACCCTCATGAAAATCACATGTGCAGTGTAAGCAATCACAGTACCTCTTGGTAAATCTTTAGAGAACGCTTTGGCATAGTACACAGTCTGCTCTCTGGAGGTGTAGGCATTAAGATGAGCACCCATATTCTCAATCTCAAGTTCCAGGTCTAATTGGGATCTCTTTTTGGTGCCCTTGAAATAAAACAGAAAAAAAATATATATATATATGATACCTTATCCTTCACCCACTCTAAACACTTCAGGTAATGAATATGGAAGATAAAAGTCAATGCCCATTTCATGCAAGGACAAATTTGGTTTGTAAAATACATCAGGCTTCAAAAACTGATATCCATTCAGATGGGCCCTTGCACCCCAAGAGAAACCCCTTGTTTCAGTTTTACAAAGCAATTATCAGTAATTACCAGACATTATTCTGAAAAAAAACTAAAAATTAATATGCCATACTATGAAATAGTTCTTGCTTTGAAAGCTGAGGTTTCTGTACCATTTGATGAGAATGAATTTTTATAAAATGAGTCTTACAACCTGCCTTAAAAGCCATATGTTCCAGAAAGTGAGCTGTTCCATTATTCTTCTCATTTTCATATCGGCTTCCAGCATCAATCCACAGCCCAACCTTAATGCAACCAAAGAATAATTAAGTAAAACATTTATTCTGTTTTTTTTTTTTTTGGTTGGGAGGAGGGGAAAATGTCCTTCCTTTTTCCGACAAATGCTTTCTAGTCTTACCACTAAAGTCATCTTCAGCGGAGTGAACAGACAGTTCATTCCTATGAACTGAGATTTAAAACTTAAACCGTCAGGCTACTGCTGAGTGCTACAAATATCTATCTATGATCTTCACTAAAGATTCATATTCTTAACCTAACTAATTACTATATCCAATTCATAATTGTGGTATAAAAAGCATCAGGGACTGTCAGAAAAAACAGGTTCAAATCCATGTATTAGTTGTATGACCTTGGACAAAACCATTTAATGTCTCTAAACCTGCATTGTCTACTGCAAAACAGGTGAGATGATTCCTACTACAAAGAAGTGTTTAAAAATTAAATAAGTAGCTGGGCACCAGATGTAATCCTAACTACTTGGGAGGCTGAGATCAGGAAGATAGCAGTGCAAGGTCAGCCCAGGTTAAAAAATCAAGTAAGACATGTAAAACACTTGGCACAGAGTAGCCTATACCTCTTTTTATCAATACTACTAACAATAAATAATTTAACAGTCTACAAGAAACAGTCATAGACAGTGAAAGAGGATTCCCATGACCTGGTATGGAAGTTCAAACCCAGAGAAACTTGTCAAGGCAAAATAACCACCACTATTTTTAACTACCAGCCAACACTACAGAGTCATCCCAAAGTGGCGTTATTGCCCAGAGAAGTTGCTGGAGTCACTTACTGTGCACGTTGAGAGCCCAGAGTCTTCAGAGGCCACTCTCAGTCCATTTTCCAAACATGTTACTCGTGTTTCAGGAACATTCAGAACAACCTGTGTAGCAGCTTGTGTACTTCTTGGTCTGTTCCCTCCAAAATATGATGACTGGGTTAGGGTAAGAGGAGGAAGAGAGAAAGTGAACATTCCTATTTTGGTATTTGATGTCAACTAGAACCTCAAATCTATCTCAAATAGACTCTAAAACACACTTTCCTGGGCTGGGAGGATGAGCTTCTGAAGTGCCAGGCCCCTGGGTCCCCATCTCCAGCACCGTAGGCGGGGGCCGAGGGGACACGACACCACTCATCTCTCCTCCTCAACTTTGGTTCCAGTAGGATCCATCCTTTTGCCTAGCCTAGGGAACCTTCCTTAACCAGCCACTCTGAAAGCTAGCAACACGACTGTGAACATGCCCTTCCTTAAGGAAGATGCGCAGTTACCACCACTGCCCAGAGAGAAACATTCATATTTCAATACCTCTCAGGAGTGTTTCACATTCATGATGGAGGAAACAAACAGGAAAGAAAAAAAAAGAAACGGAGAGAAAAATACAAAACACCTACACGAAAGTTAAGACTTGGGTTGTCACAGTGCACGAGAGGCTCGCGTTTTTAAAGGGGCGAAAAGGAGCCGAGCAGCCGCAACACTGGGCTGACGGATTTGCTGCCGTGGACGTGAACTCGGTCCGCAGGCTTCCCGGCTCCTTTCCACAAGCACACACACGCCCATGAGAGGGCAGGGGCGAGGACACATGCCAACACACAGAAAGCGCCGTAAGTGTAGAGACAGCTAGCATCTAGGAGAAAAGCGCAAACTCAAACTTTCCCTTTCGCCACGCCCAGGTTGGGGGTGAGGCCCGGGCTGGGGCACAACGCTAGGCGACCATTACCCTAACTCCCCAAGCCGCGGCCCAGCGTGCCCAGGAGGAGGCCCAGCCCGATCCGGGACGGGGTCCAGGGCCCCTCCCAGAACGAAGCTCACCTGTCCGGCGGCGCCACAGACCAGGATCCTTTCGGCGAAGCCCCACAGCCGCCGCCGCGCCGCGGGCAACAACATGGCTCTAAACGCTGCCGCCGCCATAGCTGCTGAGCATAGACGGAGCGTGTGCTTCCGGGGTCGTGACCCCAGGTCTCAGAGCGAAAGGCGGGCGCCACCTGGTGGCCGCGGTAGAAATAACACTGCTTGAAAGGCTCGTGGAAGGATGAGGACCTGCGCATGATGCTGAGCAGTGAGTGTATACCAAACAACCCCAATAAGGGAAGCTGTAGGAATCTCCGGATCATCAATTACTTTTACCAGTCGGCTGCGATGTGTGTGGCATAAATGTGGCGAGCTAAAAGCAAAAGCAACAGACGCAACATGCAATCTCCTTGATGGGTGGAATTGATTGGAAAAAGAGTAAGATCAAAACTCTGTCCTTAAAAGAAGCATCTAGGAGAGCAAAGGATGGGTCAGAGTGGGTCTAACTCATTCTGCACGTGCTTACAGTCTGGCTCATCCCGTTCCACAGAAATGCTCTTGGTAAGTCACTCCTTACAGAAAGATGAATACTACAGACCTTATCTTACGGGCCGAACTTGACGTTGGCCGCTGCCATTCTCTTTTGCCATTACATCTTAGCGCTACCTTCACTTTATTGAGTTCCTCCTTATTCACTGATCCTTCAAGGGAACTAAAAACAACAAACACTTTTCTATGAAACAGATACTATTATTATGCTCATTTTACAGATACAGAAACTAAGGTGTAAAATAACTTGCCTAAGGTTCTGTGCTGGCAACAGTCTGCCTGGTTCCAAAGAGTGTGCTCTGTAACACTACCGCCTTTTACCCTAGAAGTTGGCCTGGGTCTCTTCTCCTACTGCACATTCTCCCTCCCAGTCTCCTTTTCCACTGAGGACCTTTCTACTCACCCAACCTTTTGAGCTCCTGGCCCACCTAACCATCCACTACTGACCAGTTACATTTGATTATCTCATTGGCACCTCAATCCCAACTTGTCTGAAAGGTAACTCCAGTCTTTCCCCTAAATCTCTTCCCATATTTCCAATGCTAAAGAAATAATCACACACTTATTCATCCTGACATCCAAACCAAAAACCTGATGTCATCATCAGCGTCTCCAGTTTTCTGCCTTTCATATCTAATTGATACTCCCCTGTCCTGCCTCTTCAATCTTCTCTACCCCCACTGTTACAAATTTCCACATTGTTATTTATGGGATCTTTTTAAAATGCAGCTCTTAATATGACAATCCCATCATTTAAAAAAAAAAAACTCCAGTAATTCCCCTTGGTCAGGATAAAGTAAAGTCTCCTTAACATACTCTTTCTAATCTACTTTACTTATCTTTCTGGACCCATTTCTCTCTACCTATCCCCTATGCTATGATTCACTGGTTCAGCGCACAAGATCCATTATTTAAGAAAGGATGACCAAGGTTATTCCCTCATATCTCTAAAACAAGTGTGTGCTAAAAATAAATATAAACATGCACATATATATATAAAGTATTTAGATATAATCACAGGAAGCCCCTCAAAAATTTTAACAAGCATTTATACTCAATGTTTAATGTAATTCATTTTATTAATTTGTTAGTGACTGTTTACAGTCAATATATTACCACATAAAACTTAGAGAAATTAAGTGCACCAGAATGGTCAAGAAATCAAAGTGCTTGACTAAGCTAGGCATGGTGGTACACGCCTATAATCCCAAAACTTGGGAAAAGAGACATGGAGGACTGTGAGTTCATCATCAGCCTAGGCTACATCATGAGACCATTGTCTAAAAAAAGACAAATAGGGTTGGAGGAATGACTCAGGTGATAGTGCTGCCTAGCAAGCATGAAGCCCTGAATTCAATACCCAGCACCACCAAAAAATAAGTAATTCTAAAGTAACTGAAATAAAAAATTCATTGGAGGTTCGCAACAGTAGATATAAACAAATAGAAGAAAGAATCAGGGAATTTGAAAATAGATCAACTGAGGTTGTCTAATCTGAAGAATTAAAAGAAAAAAATGAAGAAAAAATGAACAGAGCCTCAGAACCCTGTAGGACACTCTCATCCTGTGCAACAACACTTCGCAATGGAAATCTCAATAAGAATAAAGATAGAGGGACAGAAGGAATCTTTGAAGAAACAATGGCCCACAGCTGGAGATGTAGCTCAGTGGTAGTGTGTTTGCCAAGCATGTGGGAGCCCTTGGGTTCTATTCCTAGCACCTTAATAATGATAATGATGATAAAACAATAATAATGATGACCCCAAATATCCCAAATTTGACAAACAATAATAATATACATGTCAAACAGATCAACAAATTTTAAGTAGAATAAACTCATAAATATCCACACCTAGACACATCATAATCAAACTATAGAAAACCAAAGGCCAAACCTTGAAGGCAGCAAGAGAGAAGCAACTGATTACACATACCTGATCTTTAATAATATTAATATCTGATTTCCTATTGGAAACCATGGATTGCAAAGCGGCAGGATATTTTCAAGGAACTGAGCCAGGCGTCAGTAGCTCATGCCTGTAATTTTAGCTACTTGGGAAGCTGAGACTGGGAGAATTGCAATTCAAGGCCAGTCTGGGCAAATAGTCTGCAAAACCCCATCTCCAAAATAACCAGAGAAAAGTGGATTGGAA